CATTTGCCTGTGCACTGCGGCATCAAACCGACTGTAGTCGGCCCGGGACTCCGAAGCTATGGTAATCTGATACTCCTTCCCCCCCCACAAAACCACCAGATGAGCTGACATTTGCCTGTGCACTGCGGCATCGAACCGACTGTCCTCGTATCGAAACTACACTACACTTAACTAACCAGCATCGAACCATTGATCTATATCTTGTTTTCCGTTCGCAACAATCTGTAGTTCTCCGTTTGCATCAATCTTGGCAATCATTGCACCTATACACGACTTATCCCCAAACCCTTGTCCGCATGATCCTTCTGTTGGTGAGATGCTCGTCTTTCTTCTCCAATTTCGCTCAAGCGGGAGGGCTTTTCCAATTTGGCGGGAAAGATTTTTGAAATTGGCGGGGTTGATAGGTTTTTTCCAATTTGGCGGGAAAGATTTTTGAAATTGGCGGGGTTGATTTTTCACGTTGATTTTTCACGTTTGCAGAAAGTGTCGATCAACTTCCTCCTAGAATCTGACGCCCACTTCGTGCGCGGGCTAACGAACTTCGCGCTGCAACCCCGCCACGTTAGCGGCCAACGTGTCTCCTGTCCTGCTGCTTGTTTGTATATGCAGGAACGTTTTTTCAATTTGGCGGCAAAGATTTTTGAAATTGGCCGGAGGTTGATTTTTGACGTTCGCTAAAGCGCCGACCAACTTCCTCCTAAGGATCTGAGGTCCACTTCTTGAAGGCTAACGAACTTCGCGCTGCAGCCTCATCATGTCATGTTAGCTGCCAACGTGTCTCGTGTCCTGCTTGTCCGTGTACAAGTGGGACTTCACAGAAACACCCCGCAGCAACCAAAGCGCACACGCTGTACACGTGACCCACCACGTCATCAATCACCTGCCGAGCTTCTGCCATAGGGAAGTTACCTGTCGAGCTTCCGCTATTTTGTGATTGCCTGCCTGCCTGCCTGCCTGCCTGCCTGCCTGTGGGAGTTCTGTACAGTTTATCGATCAGCGTGCGCTCACACGCTGCTGGGCTGGCCTCATCGCCTACTGAGTTAACACTCTCCCTGCGCACCAAGTACAGCAGTACTGTGTAGAATGGCACGACGTCCACAGAAGTATAACGTCGGGATTAGCGATGTACAGCGGTGGGAGGTTCATAGAGCTCTCTCTCTATAACGAACGGGAGCCGTTCCATAGCCGTAACGGCAAAACGTTTTGTATTTGTGGAGTCGACAATTCCTAGCGTTGCACGGGCGGGCGTTCAAGGACGAAGAAGGCTTGAAGACAACCCCGAGCATGGCACGCGGGTGTGCCAGACAGGCCGGTGAGTTACCTGCACCATTCGAATAACTATTCCACGACGAAGCCGAAGACCAACCAAAACTCAAAACCTCGACGGCGCCAAGTTGCCACCAAATCTGGTGACTGCTGTACGATCATGATGGGTATCCGACTGATCTATCAGTCGGGACAGCTGGACGGTGAGTAGCAACTCTAATGAGTCAGATCCCGCTCCTCATCGTAATTGCGTCGGGACATCTGTCTCGATCAGTCCACCGACTGATCAGCACAACGACTGTAATTGCATCGATTTGAATGAAATTGGAATCGAAAACGACGTGAAGCGGAAGTCCATTCCATCTTTCTCTCAATGAAGGAGGACGATAAAGGGAGCCGGTCGGCTTACAGGGTAAGGAAGAACAAATAGAAAACATAGATAAGCACGGGAAAAAGAATAAGAAAAAGAGAAGAAGAGCTGGGTCATTTCGCCCGGTGCACGGACGGCCCACACCCGCCGGGAAGGCAGGAGGTAGGGATCCTGGTGGTCCCGCGCATCGCCAGGCGCTTCAGAAAAAAGCTAAGATGATGATGATGATGATGATGATCGTGGTGATGATGATGATGATGATGACGATGATGATGATGATGATACCGACGATGATAACGACGATGACGATTCCTCCGGCGCGCTGTGCAGCCCCCCAAGTTGTGGTGCAACGACGGTGATGATGATCATTAGTGAGTCCTCCGTCGCCCACCCCTTCTCCCCCGACCCCCCCACCCCACCCCGTCTATCCCTTCCCAACTAAATTTTGTTAACTACTCGAAAAACATGAAAGTGCCCGGATTGGGCCAGAACTTGGTGGGCGCAAAGATGCCCCACTTGGCGGGATATTTTTCATGCCCCCCTGTGAATTATATTGCCCAACGTCTCCTCCTCAACACTGCATCGTCGATTCTTCACCTGCGTGGGGATTAGAGATGAATTGGGTAGAAAAGAGACGGCCTTTCCCCCAAACGATGGGGGGAGGCGCGCAAGTCACGTCGTACAACTTGGCGGGGCGCGCAAGTCACGATCCGAGTGGGAATAGCGGATATAGTTGATATCTATACATATTACATATGCAACAAGATGAATTATTCGATTCGATTGGATTCGATTCGATTCGCACCTCTTTTTCTTTTTTTTAATTTTAGTTTGTCTTTCATTTTGGCTTTTTGGAAAATATAAAGCGCGCGTACCTGATCTTATCTTGTGTTGAAGCTTTCCCGAAATCGTGTTTTACCGATCTCAACTATACCATCCTCAAATGTCCGGTACAGACTGGCATCGTTTTTCCATACTTACTTGACTATACATCGGGGCAATGTAATTATTTCTAGGTTGATTTACTTTGCTCTGGGATATCGGTCTCTTCTGTTTGCGTTTGTTTAAGCAAGTAATCAAGAAGTTAATCCGGCAATTACTATAGTAATAAAGCCATTGAGGAGATGGCACCGATGTTCACAGCCATCAGAGATTACACCAACCAATCAACCAACCAACCAACCAACCAACCAACCAGCCAACCAAGCAATCAAGCAACCAACCAACCAATCAAAACAATCACCTTCTCGAATCAAATATAACCGATCGACCAGCCAGTCAACCAAGTAATCAACTACTAAATCAACCAATCATCCAAACTGATCGTCCACTTAACGAAACAATCAACCGAAGTAAGGAATGAACTCCATCCATCAATCAAGCAACCAACTAATCAGCCAATTTTATCAGCCAGTCGATCGACGGCCCAATCGACCGATCAATCAATCAAGCAAAAGCGAACAAGCGATCGATCGAGCAATTGATCAAGCAATCAATCACGCAATCAACGGATCATCCAAGCCACAACTTGCCATACACTCGACCACTCGACAGATACTTAAATCGGTTGTAGGAGTACTACTTCGACAAGGGAGGAGTCGGTTAGGCCCTCCATCCCTAACCCGATTTCTCTTCCTTTCTTCCCCTCATCTACCCATCCATCATCTGTCCATCCAGTGAATCTTTCTCCGTCCATCTATCCATTCATCCATGCATTCAGTCCGCTCATTTTACCATGACCTCATTCACCGAGCCTCATCCATCTGTGTACACATGACTGAATCAAGTAACCTTACAGAAGCAAAGGCACAATGCATAGATTGATCGATCAATTATGATCTGCCAACGGCTCTGTTTGCCCGTCTCTCTCTCTCTCTCATTTGTAGTCTATTTCGACCAGCGAGCCATGTTAATCAGATCGAACGGCGTGAATCATGCCCGCAGATCATGGCAATGTGAATCCTCTCACTCTCTCTCTCCCTTCCTTCCCTCCTCCTTCTCCCTCCCTCCCTTCCCTCCTCCTTCTCCCCTCCTTCCCTCCCTGGTTCGTTCTCGCCCTCCTTTCCCGTGTCTGAACATACCCAATCTGGTCGGCCCCCGTCCTCCCCCTCCTCCCTCTCGGCCCTTTGCTGCCTCCCCCCTCCCCCCTGTCTCTTATACACATCTAGATGTGTATAAGAGACAGCTCTGAGACCATCCCACTCTTAGCGGTTCAACGAC